AACTAACAAGTAAATAATAAATAAATAAGCAACTAACTAACAAGTAAATAATAAATAAGTAATTGTAATTGTAATTGTAATTTAATAAATTTATATGCCGCCCAATCCCGTAGGACTGCGGGCGGCTTACAAAATACAAGACTAAAAAGATAAAAAGTTAAAAGTAGGGAAAGATAAAATAAATAAGCAAAGAAGCAAATAATAAATCAATAAATAATTAATCAATAAGTAAATAAATAATAAACCAATAAGTAACTAATAAATAAATAAATAAGTAAATCAATGAGTAACTAATCAATCAATAAGTAAATAAATAATAAATATATAAATCAGTAAGTAGCTAATCCATAAGTAAGTAAGTAAATAAATAATAAATAAATACATAAATCATTAAGTAGTTAATCAATAAGTAAGTAAATAAATAAATAAATAAAATCCACCCTCCCCAGCCAGAGCTTTCGGAACACGCCCCCAAACCGGAAGTGGAGAAGCGGCCCCGCCTCCTGCCCTCCCCCTGTGGCCAGGCCGCGCTGGGCGCCGCCTCTTCCGGCGCGTGGCCCATAGAGTCCCCTCCTGCGGCCCCTCTTTCCGGCCCGGTGGGGGAGGGGGCTGGGGGCGCGGCTGAGGCGGCTGTTGCTGTTGCGGGCGCTGCGCCTGTGGCGAAGGAGACCCCGCCGGAGGAGGAGGAGGAGGAGGTAAGGGGGCTGCTGGGCCGACGCTCCCCTCGACGCACCCGCCCCCCTCCCCCGGGGACAGCCCCCCCTCTTCCAGTTTGGGGGGGGACTTGGTCGGGGGGGGTCTTTCGGAGGGGGGGAGCGCGGGAAGCTGAGGGGGGTCGCGGGGGTCGCTCTCCCGCCTTATTCCCCCAACCTGGCGCCCACCGGAGGAGTTGCAAGGGGCTTCCGCTCTTCCCTCCCCCACTCTTAGCAACCCCCTCCCCCCCCCGTCTCATCCTTGCAAAGCAAGTGGGGAAGATGATGGGAGTTGTAGTCCAAGTTTTTTGGGGGTGGGGGGTGATTCACTGTCCCCAATCTGGCGCCCGCCGGGGGGGGGGGTTGCAAGGGGCCCGCTCTTCCCTCCCCCACTCTCAGCAGATTCCCCCCCCCCCATCTCACCCTTGCCAAGTAAGTACAGAAGATGATGGGAGTTGTAGTCCAGAGTTTTTTGGGGGTGGGGGGTGATTCACTGTCCCCAATCTGGCGCCCGCCGGGGGGGGGGTTGCAAGGGGCCCGCTCTTCCCTCCCCCACTCTCAGCAGATTCCCCCCCCCCCATCTCACCCTTGCCAAGTAAGTACAGAAGATGATGGGAGTTGTAGTCCAAGTTTTTTGGGGGTGGGGGGTGATTCACTGTCCCCAATCTGGCGCCCGCCGGGGGGGGGGTTGCAAGGGGCCCGCTCTTCCCTCCCCCACTCTCATCAGATCCCCCCCCCCCCATCTCACCCTTGCCAAGTAAGTACAGAAGATGATGGGAGTTGTAGTCCAAGTTTTTTGGGGGTGGGGGGTGATTCACTGTCCCCAATCTGGCGCCCGCCGGGGGGGGGGTTGCAAG